TCTTCCCTGACTTCTTCATAAGCAGATTTAAAAGAAAACTGCCCATTATCAGTTGGTTCCCAATACACACTCCCATCAGAATTCATACCACATAAAGAATTGGCTAAATCATCAATGGAGCAAATTCTTCTCCAAATGGGAGAATCATAGGCTTTAGCAACCATATTCTGACCCCTGGGATATCTGGCCCTAAGAAAGTTAGCCCAAATAGAATCGTCAACTTTCCATTTCCACCATAATTTTAAAGTGAAAGCTTTTTCAGTGTCAGTAAGGCTTCTAATACCAACACCCCCCTCCTCAGTTGGAGCACACATGTGTGACCACTTGAGCCAATGATAGTTGTTCCTATCATTAGTAGATCCCCAAAAAAAGTTAGTCATCTTTCTTTCAAGAATATTTATAACCTTTCGAGGCAGTTTGTCAGCTGCCAAAATATGCAAAGGAATAGTATTTAGGACATGTTTGATTAAGATCAGTCTTCCTCCCATTGAAAGATTCCTTTGATTCCAAGCTGAAAGTTTAGAGTCAAATTTGTGTATGATGTCCATACAGTAACTAATCCTGTTTATTCCTTTATGCAGTGGAACCCCCAAGTACTTTATGGGAAAGTCAGCTTCCTGCATACCCAGTAGATGTGAGATCAAGCCAGCCCTAGCTTTCTTCCCACACAGGAAAGAACTCTTTTGCAGATTGATAGATTGTCCAGAAGCCCTTTGGTAAGATTGTAGGAATTTATTAAAGTTCAGGAGAGACCTAGAGTCACCATTTAAAAAGACCAACAAATCATCTGCAAAGCCCAGATGAGACAAAGAATAGCCATAAGCACCCATCCAATACTGTTTGATAGAACCCCTATCAATGTGCCAATTTAATCCTCTGGAAAAAGCTTCAGATGCCAAGATAAACAAGAAGAGGGAAAGTGGGTCACCCTGCTTGACTCCTCTTTTAGGTTTAAAGAAACCATGCGGCACCCCATTAATAAGAATAGACAGATAGGTAGATTTTAGGTTATTCATGATAACCTGGATAAATCTCTGCGAAAAACCAAACCTAGCTAAAACCTCAGCCAAAAAATTCCAGGAAAGCTTGTCAAAAGCCTTAGCCATATCAAGTTTAACAATAACATTAGAACCTCTTATCTTTTTATTTAAGGAATGAACCATTTCTTGTGCAATCAAGACATGGTCCACCATATCCTTATTTTTCATAAACCCAATTTGTTCAGATGAGATAAGTTTAGGCAGAAGCAAAGAGAGCCTATCAGCCATGACCTTAATGCAGATCTTGCTAACAAAGTTAGAGAGACAGATGGGCCTAAATTCCCCAAAGGTAGAGGGGTTGCTAACTTTAGGAATCAGCACAATCAAACTACTAGAAATACCTTTGGGTATATTAATACCCAAGAAGAATTCCTGCACAGCTTTAACTAGGTCAGTTCCAACAATATGCCAACATTTTTTAAAAAACTTCCCATTAAAACCATCTGGCCCAGGTGCCCCATTAGGATTAAGGCTCCAAACCGCATCTTTAATTTCCATTTCATGAGGTAATTCCATTAATTGCTGATTGTCTTCTGCTGTGACCAGGTTAGGAATAAACTGCAGCACCTCCTCAGAGTCAGTTTCAGGAGCAACTGAATAAAGATTGGAATAAAAATCTATGGCTGCTTCACCAATGTCAGGTAAAGAAGATACCACCGTACCTGATGAATTTGTAATGCGAGCAATACTTTGCCTTCTATGTCTGATCTTCACAAAAGAATGAAAATATTTTGAATTAGCGTCCCCTTCTTTAAGCCATCTAACATGAGCCTTTTGTTTCCAATATTTTTTTTCCAGGTTGAGCTTAGACATTAGAAGAGCTCTGAGGTGACTCCAATGTTGTCGATTATCATCAGTAGGAGAATCTCTAAATTCATTTTCAGCCTGCATAACTTGATTCTCACATTTTCTGATATCCTCAAAAATATTCCCAAAAGTATCTCTATTCCAGACTTTCAAATCATTTTTGAGGCATTTCAATTTATAAACTAAGCCTCTCATTCCCCCTCCACTAGGACTTTTATTCCAGCTGCTTTGAACTGTGGACAGAAAACTAGGGTGCTTCACCCACATATTTTGAAACCTGAAAGATCTGGGCCCTTTATTATCTTCAGTAGAGCATCTGATAAGAATAGGAGTATGGTCAGAAGGTGTTTTGTCCAATATGTCTACCTGGATTTGTTTGAAAAGATCATTCCAGCTATTATTTATCAAATATCTGTCCAACCTCCTCCAAACCCAACCATTGGACCTAACCCCAGCCCAAGTGAAAGTAGGGCCAGTAAAATTAGGTTCAATAAGATCACAAGCTGCCACCCAATTAGAGAACTCTAGCATACTATTAAGGTGAGGTATAGATCTCCCCTGGTGTTCATTATGGTTAATTATTGCATTGAAATCTCCGCCTATGAGCCAGGGGTCATGAATATTTGTAGATAGAGCTTCCAAAGAGTCCCACAAATCCCTTCTAGCAACGTAGTTGTGTTTACCATACACCACAGTAAACCATCCTACCACATTCCCTCTTTTGAATCTCAAATGTGTAAATTGATCATGAAAAGAAACATCAGAAATATCCACCTCATCGGGGTTCCAAAAAACCAGATTTTATTAAAGTTAGAAGATGAAACTTTAGTGAAACCAAGAATATGCCTGTAGGAATCTGCTTTAGAAAAATCAAGAATAGGTTCAATTATAGCAAGAATCTGAATCTGCCATTGCTGAATTAGGGAAACTAACCTAGCTCTGGCAGATTCCACTCCCCTGACATTCCAAAATAGACAATTCATTTAAGAGAATTGGGGAAAATTTGAGAAGCCAGTCTACTGTCATTTTGAACAGCAACTGACAACACTACTCCTTCCGACCTTTTTGCAGCATTTCTAGTAATCCTGGGGGTAACAGTGTTCTCTTTCTTCCTATTCTTCTTATAGATGACCTCAGTAAACCCTTCAGAGGCTGCCTGATTAGTTTGGACCGAAATTGGATCCCCTGAATCCTCTGCCAGTATGTTCCCAGGGCCTTGCAGTGCCATATCAGTAGGAGGGTGTCCAATTGGTTCCAAATCCATAGATTCATCAGCCTGAATTCCCTTAGCAGATGGAACCAGGTTAGGATCCATCTCCTCCACACTCTGAATCTCCTCTGCCTGTTTTCCCAAAGTGAGGTCCTCAATGTCTTTTTCCATATTCGTTGCCATGGTGCCCACTTTGGAAGCAATTTCGTCCCATCCAATCTCCCAATTTGCAGTGGCAATATGTCTACTCCTTTCACTATCAGATGAATACTGCTTGGAGGCTAGAATAGGATCAAATTCAATTTCCTTTTGTAATTTCTTTAACTGATAATCATCGCTAATGGCATGAATTTTTTAGCGCAGATTCCCAAGGGCTTGCATTTCCACATCACCAGATTGGGGAGCAGAAGTTCCAGAATCTTCGTTAATCACCTGCTTTGATGGGGGCTGTTCATGAAAGACTTCCTCAATGTCAGGATAATCTCATGAGTTAGCTAGATGTACACATTTTGTACATTCGTCTGTCTCATGCACACATAATTATCTGTCCACATATAACTATATTGAATTGTCTGATGACAGATAATTCTGTGTGCGTGAGACAGACGAGTGTACGAAAGGTGTACACTAAATGTGTACAACAAACATTTTTTTAATCTCATAATGACTTCTTCACAAAGTATATCGTCAAATGATGTAAACAATAAGTTTATTTTTTTTGAGTGAATTATACAATCTACAAACACAGATATATATCAACATTAACACAAGTTTGCGCACTATATCTATGTTATTTACTTGTGATCTAATCTCACAAACATGACTCGCATTTGACAAATGTGTTAAACTTGGTCACATGAACATATTTTGGTATGACATAATTTGGAGAATAGTTTAGAGTCATGAATATATGAAGTAGACTTATAGATATTCATGACTCATTTATGATGTTATGAGCCACTATATCCCCACCATCACCAATCATTTTAAGAGGACTCTGCTTAAAGTGAGTGGTAATGGTGGTGACACAATACCTCATATAACTCCATAAGGGAGTCATACTTTATAAAAGATTTATACGTGAATATAGAGAATTATATGTGGATATATGGACGTACAAAAAGTGTGTATTACAAAAGTTCTTTCTGATTTCCGTCATGAAAATTGTATGATGCATTTGTTTTTTATGGTTGGGTAGAAGAGCCAAATCAATTCACTGCTTTTTGCAATGTTTTAGACTCAAGTTCTTTTGACGTTTTGACTCGCTGGTAGCCTTTATTCAATTTTGATATCCAACGTTTCGACTTTCGAATATATACCACGATAAGTTTATGATATTTCTCAAAATTTCAAATAATATATATAAAAATTCGACGATAGTTAAATTTAATTGATTTATTACTACAATTGTACATGACTACATGTTATATACTTCGTACTTATATTGGCGATATTATTCCTACCTAGTATATCAGCGAATTGTGCTTTTTCCAAATAGTTCGAGATCAATTGTGTAGTCATTGTGAGCTAGAACAAATCCAACTCCAATTTCGGGGACCGATTAGATACAGATAGTACAATACAGTTTAAATTTCATTATTAATGAATAATTAGAGCATGAACCAAAAATTATGCTCTAATTATCCAATAATTAGATCACATGTTAACCTCATATTTGAGTATTTATCATGTGTTATCTCATTCACTTGAATATTTATCAAACTCAAACATCCAACGAGCCAAAAACCAGGCAAAGCTCACAGGTCACCGAACATCCAACGAGCCAAAAACCAGGCAAAGCTCACAGGTCACCATATTCGAGCTCACGTCGGCTAGTTCACACCCTTAATCTATCTTCATTTCCTTTAGTTAAGATTAATAGCAAGAAGCCAAGAACATTATAGATTTCAGATATTTTAATGGTCCAGCAGGCTGATCAAATCATACTTGGAGCATATTAATCCGGTCAAAGCAAGACATTAATAATTCAGTGAATTCATAAAGCAAATAGTGCAAGCAATTGCGAGAAATAAAACATATATATCCCTATTGAGTTACATATACTTTTACAAAAGTTACAACAATGAAACCTAGCAAATAGAGTAACAGTCAAATAATCTGAACAGATGTTCTAAAGCTTACACCTTGGCAAGCTTGGAGGTTAAATACTATAGACAGAAAATATGATACACAAGGACCTGAACAGAGAATTCATGAAGCTAGATGAAATCCTCATGCATCCGGGTCCCACCAGCCTAGGTTGCTATTCTCTCATGCACACTGTTGACAGTGTCCAGACCACCACACTGGCAGTGACAATGAAGTGACTAAACAAGCAGCAGCAATATACAATTCACACATCTGCCATATCTCTCTACATGAAGTAGCTAAGAGCTGTTTTCTTCCTTGATCCACCTTCTCCGTACAATTCATTCCACTGGAGAAGCTCAGTCATATTTGTTGACTCTGACGATACACTGGCGCACACCTGCATGTAACCAGCGGTAATCAAAACTAATAAACAACTATTTACTTGGCTCTTAGTGGTTAATTAATGTATGACTTGTGTTTTTCCTTTCTTTTTCGGCTCCATTCAAACTAACCTGTTCATGCGCATATCTGAAATCATCCATGTTAAGAGGACGAATATCAGAACTGTCATGCAAAGCTGGCAATGGTCTGTTTTCTGATATTGCCAAAGCTTTCTCCTAAAGACATTTTTTGAACATAGAGAAGAAAATATTATTAAATATGCGAGCACAGGAACAAATGATGAGAAGTATAAGTGGTAAACAAGTCTGGAACTTGATTATAAGAAAGAACCTTCTTTTCCTTCCCCAAAATTTCCCTAATGGGACAATGTGCTGCCGTAACACACAAGTTCTGCAACAGAGAAGTCATTAATGTAATCTCAGCAAAATTTTATATGATCGTTCATTTTTAAACATAGCAAGGTTTTAATCTTAAAGAGAACTAAAAAGATAAGTCCGAGAGTTTGAAAAAAGTTTTAACGACCAAACCTTCAAATCACTTCCTGAATACCCTTCAGTCATAGTAGCAATTGCTTCAAAATCAACATTAGGATCTAGCTCCTCCTTGGTTAATATAATTCTTAAAATCTTTTCCCTATTAGAAGCATCAGGCAAGTTAACCATCAACCTACACAATTTGAAGCCAAAATGAGTACTACTTTCAAGCATTTACTTTAAACCAATTGAGAGATTAACTAACAATAACATACCTTCGAGGAAGCCTCCTAATAACCGCCTCATCGAGGTCAAAGGGTCTATTGGTTGCTGCAAGAACAAGCACTCGTTCCTTGTCCTTTGTGCGCAAACCATCCCAATTCACCATAAATTCATTTTTCATTTTGCGCATAGCTTCATGCTCTCCAGGATTTTCCCGTCTCCCTAGCATGCTGTCCACCTGAAGAAAAGGAGATTGGGTGGGGAAGACAACGGGGTCAAGTGGAGATATAGACCACTAATTGCGATAAATAGAACACGCACAAACAAACACACTGGAAAGAAGTGGAAGCAAAGGGTCACATGAGAAAATAATTTAGCAATTGATTAACTAAAGAAAATGAAATACCAACCTCATCCACAAAAACAACACTAGGAGCAATTTTACTGGCTAAAGTGAATACTGCTTTGACATATTTTTCTCCTTCACCGAACCACTGTAAGAAATTTAAGCATAATGATTCAATAACATTCAGTTTACTAACAAAGGCCACCCCAAAAAGTTAAATGTGTCTGTTCAGCAAGTGGAATTTTTCCCATATCTATAGCATAGTTGAAAGCGAAAATTTAAAAAAAAAAATCGTTGAAACACACCAAATGAAAGACAGAGTAGAATTCTCCATTCCTCAACATTCTAAGGAAGCTAGATTTAATTTTTCAAGTGTATTGTTTTCAAATTGGAAAATACAGGAGTACTGTTTGTTCATCAAACTTTTCGACTTTAAGTGTTGATAGACTGATATATAATTTTATTTCATTTTCCCCATGAAATCTCTAACTTCAATACTTAAAGAGAATGAATGAAATGGCGAGTGAAAAAACAGAGATGAAAATATTATAAACTTTGTATATAGCCCAAGATACCTTTGATGTAATGCTTGACATTGATATGTTAATAAAGTTTGCACCAGCTTCTGTTGCAACTGCTTTTGCGAGCATTGTCTTACCAGTGCCTGGAGGTCCAAAAAGCAATATCCCCTTGCAAGGCTGAAAGTGTAAATTTCATTATTAACTAAATAAGCCAAAAAGTGGTTAAAAGAAGTGTAAACCAGCAAAAAGAGGTTTACCTTGGTAAGCTGTCCTTTACAAAACAACTCTGGTCTTTGAAGAGGCAGCATAACCAATTCCTTCAAAGTATCCTTCACATGTTCCAAGGCCCCAATGTCATCAAAAGTAACTCCAATATCACTGGGTGGAATAACATCAGCAAGTAGTTTTTTCTCAAATTCATTCTCAGTAACCACATCCTGAAACCTCAAAAATCAAGTCAAACTCATGTAAGCATCCAATTGGAATGATTTTTAAGCTTTATAAAAAGAAATGAGAAACATTGAATAAAAAAGTCTCGCCATCACACCTTAAGAGAATTTCTCACGCTCTTGGTTTCATTTTGAATGCCTTGCAAGATATTGAGCCCATACCTAATGCTGAAAAGTCAAAAGAAATTGATGGCATTTTTTAAATGAAACCATGTTCACATGCACATCATCCAACACATGGTTAATGCCAGGGAAGTTATGAATCGCATCATCAACAAAAATGAATTAAAGACGAGTAGGGTACGAATCTCATCTTATATGTTGGTTGGTTCACAATTTTTCTCACCAAATTTTATCAGTTCATATTTTTCTTACTTTTAACCTTTGACTTTGAAAATTTTCCATTTTAGTTCAAAGTCCACAGTTCTACACAATACACCCTCCAATGTAGTAGGATTTTTTAAATAAAAATAAGGATTTTTTGGACACTTTAGATAAAGAGTGAAGCATTTAATAGTACAAAAAAGTCACTTCGTTTTATAAAATCCAGTTACTCCTAAGGAGTTAGGAGTCAACAAATTTAAGTATGAAGGAGGCAGGACAGCAGGAGAACAGCTATTCCATTGCAATGAAAAGAGAAAGCTCTGCATTCATTCATGACTTCACCACTATACAAGTAAAGTGACAGAACATCAGACAACCTCTCACTGGAGATCACAAGTTTGCCATCTTTGGTGGAAGATTCCGAAGAATGCATTAAATGATGACTCAGAGCCCAGCCAATCATTTTCTCCACACCTATACGAATTAAAAAGCAAGTTTCTTAGGGCCTGTTTGGTATGATGTAAAGTAAACACTTTGCATGTAAAGTGTAGGGACATAATCACTTCACACCGTTTGTTTTGATTACTTGATGTAAAGTGTTGGGTACTTTTTTAAAACATTTTACATTGTACCGTGTGAAATATTTTACATGGTGGAGGATGGTCTTTACATTGTAAACATAAAATACATGATTTAAACTTTTACCATCCAGCCCTAATTTTAACGACTTCAGTGTGGCCGAAGAAGAAAGAAAACTAGGCAGCAACCTTTTATATAAATCGTGAACTGAAAGCAGATCGGCAACCTTTGATATAACCTACGACTCTCTTATACTACGTCCAAGAATAAAAAATCGTAGACCAGCTGCATCTTTCCAGAAGCTTTTAGTTTTCTTCTTTAATCTGATGACATGTATTGTTTTGAGTGTTTTTGTGCGAGTAGAAATCCAGATTGTGGGTTTAAATGGGATAACCCGTTAAGTTCGAGTATTGGGTTATTGGGTTTGTTTACCTGGATTGGTATGTAAGACCCGGTTTATTATTTAATATACATACACATATATATACATATATACATATATGTGTGTGTGTGTGTAATATGTACACACATATATATAGACATGGATAAAATATACTTCGTATGTATACATGGACAAAGATAAAAAATTGGGAAGTTTCGGTGCTGGAATGGATTGAATGAATAGGACAGCGTGTTGATGATTGAAGAATATGTTACGTTGTACTACAAAAGGCTAAAAGGGTGATGTAGTCTTTTTCTAAGAATTTTGCAAGCAAAGTTACGTTTCAGAAAAAACAATGTAAAGAGTTCGCGTGTATTTTAAAAATAGATTACACATATAACCAAACGATGTAATTTAATACTACATGTAAAATGATTACTGCCCTATATTTTACATGCAATCATTTCACGTGTAAAATTTTAATGAGTAAACTACCAAATGGGCTCTTAGTCAAATCTCCTCCTCAAACTTGAAAAGTTCAAGTGAAGTATACATTACGTCGTCTCAGATGTATTCAGTCCTAGGACCACTGACCACAGGGGTTTTTAATCAAAATGTCAACCAATTGATCCGTTGAGCCCGACAAAGCTCATAACTACGCAGCCCGTCGTACATGTACTTTCCTCTAATGAAATGCCAATCGACCTCTACAAATATGGACTTTTAATGATAACGGGCTTTAAAGTGATTTGTAGTTTTGTCAGGTCATCACATATTAATGACAAATTTTGCCATATTGCAACTCATAGAAGCAAATGTCTCAATCATATAAGGTCACATAAAGACAGGACATATGCCCAGCCTGTTTAGCTCAATCACATAGTGCGCCATGCCGCCATTCTACCTTTTAACCTGACCTTGCCACTATGACTTGCTTCTCACACATTCAAGATATTAGATACAGATACACCATCCTGATGTGAAGTGCCTATCGTAATGACAACCTGCCTAACTTGCCAATCAAGATCCGAGTAATTAACATTACTTCACAGTCTGAGTGTATTTCACAAGTAGACTGTCCTAGTGTGCTTTTGATGCATCTCAAAATCCAAATTGCACCTTTCTAGGACTACTACATGGAATTGCCAAGAATTGACTTAACACACCAGCAACAGAAGAGAACAATCATCGCGTAACAACAACATCCAAGCCTTATTGCCAAAAACAACCATCACGTAAATTTAAGTTAATTTAGCTTTCTGAGCACAAGTATGAATATGATCTACAATGACACAGTATATCATTCACGGACCTCCAATTCTTCTTGAGCACATGGATATATCAGAGGCACAGTATGCTAAAAAATTATAAAAATGTTCAAAATCTGAACATATTGTAAACCCAAATTTGAATAAGTTCAAATCGAACTAGCTAGATTTCCCCGCTCTACTTAATGTACGAGGAGGAATAGAGATCAACAAGCAAGAGTAAAGCCTCTTTCCTGATTAGCGAATAGTGCCTCACTTTCCTTCTAAGCTGTCAGCAGTCTCACAAGAAATAAGATCAAATAGAATCCGATTTCCAACATTCAAGAGTAGTAAAGCATCGAAGCAAATAGCGTAAAAGGATACCTATCGAATAGGCTCTGGGACTGAAGTTTCAGACAAATGAATATGATGAGAATCCAGACACTCTCTAAGAATTAATCCCAATTGGGATTTTTCTAGAGTTTACACTAGGAGGGGCAAAAGAGTAAATGGTTAATTAGAAGGTGGGAAGTTAGGTACGGATGAGCTGGAGGGAGAGAATAAAAGGCCTGCTGATGAGAGAGAAGAGATCATTCCGGAATCGGTTAGTTTGTTGGGAGAGTGGGGCCCTCTCGAATGGCTTCCAAATTGTAATCTCTTTTTCTGCACGTCATCTATCCTTCCCCTTGCTTGTTCTGAGATTTTACAGACTTTGTATTGAGAATTCCAGTAATATAACTTCCCTATTATGCTGGAGTGTGTTTGTTCTTATTATTTGATATCAGAGCACTGACGATTGTTGTATCTGTGGATGGTCTTAAACTGGTTGAACATGGAGAATCGAATAAAAAACTTGGAGCGATCCCTGGAACGATCAATGGCAAAAATGTGAGCCATGATGGATGACAGGTGCAGATAATGATGGAGAAAAGGCAGAATCTCAAAGCTCACAATGATCGCCAGAGAACCAGGGGACAATCAAGGACTTCTCTCCGTCGCCCACCATCAGATAGCGTGAATTTTTCCCATTCCACAGGTATTTCTCATGAATTCTGGTCGGCTTCCTTTACGCATGATAATGCGAGGGTCCATGAACGTATACATACTGGTAGAAACTAGAAAGATGGATTTGCCAATGTTTGGTGGTGACGACGGGTATGGGTGGATTATCAAGGTAGAACGATATTTCAAACCGAACCAGGTGTCAGAGGCTGAAAAGGTGGAGATAGTACTGATCGCCATGGCTGATAAGGCTCTAAATTGGTATTAGTGGTGGGATCAACATACAGATGGGGACAACTTTAAGGATGCACTGATCCAAAGGTTCCAACCAGACTTGGTACAGAATCCATTTGGTCCAAGCTTAGTATTAAACAAACGGACTCAGTGATGGAATACAGGGATCAATTTGAGATGGTGGTAGCTCCACTCAGAGCTACTGACCAAGAAATGTTAAAAGGAGTGTTTCTCAATGGCCTCAAGGAAGAGATTAGCACGGAGCTGAAGCTTTACCAGTTCAGTGGGTTAACCGAACTTATGGAGCCTTATCATGCAGAAAGAAGGAGAAGGATATTATATTCACTATGAAGTGACTGACTCAAGCAAAATAAGGCAGGAACATGAGAACGAGTGGGAAGAAATCCTGGGAGAATTTCCCAGGATTTCAGATGCAACAAGGTTTACCTCCTAGGAGAGCACGTGACCATGCTATAAATATTAAAGAAGAAGCCATTATTCCCAATGCCTTCTTATCAGAATACATGTCCAAACATTATCTTTACAAATATTCAGACTAAGCCAACCACTATTACACAAATCAGAAAACTTTTTCCATAAATTTGTTGTGGCAAATACTACGTATAAAAGGCAAGGAATTTATATTAGGTGTGTTTCAAGCCTTAGACCTTGTATCTGGTCAACAAAACGCCACACAGCATACCTACACATACCCGACGCATATCTGTGTGTCACACTGTCAACAAAGCTTTGTTCGATGGAAAAGAAGACATGGAATTGCAAAAGGAGGGAGGAAGATTTGACGAAAAAGAAGATAATGGCAGGGACAGGGATATGATACCGTAACAAGATAGTAGAAGATGATTTCTAATCGTAATGGTGTCTAAACTTATTACATAAAGAGACTCACTAACACTAGTGCTTACCTTCTACAGATTTTGGGCTAAGCCGATTTGTGTCGGTTAACATCAAAGGAAGCCATAATAAAGGAATATCTAATCACAGAGCTCCACACTTAATGTAGGTTACTTACTCTCATTTGTCAATGTTTGATCTTTTATGCACAATGTTTCGATATCAGGACAATGAAGCTCAATGCGATTCAAAACCTGAAAATTATTATAAGAGTAAAACAAAGAGAGGTTTGGAAAGTCAATTTAGCATTTTATCAAGGATACACTTCCTCTTTCTCAACCATATTCTAAACATTTAAGATCACTAACAATAACCACAAGTGAGATGTTTTAAATATTCTTGCTTTGAAAGTAACACTGATTCTAATGAAATCTTAAAAAAAATTGGGAATTTCATCGGTTCATTACCCTACAGATGGGTCAACTATCAATTTATGACCATAATGACTTTTCTTTTACTCAGGGCTTAAATAACTTGAAACCATCAATATCAGCCCTTACCATCTATATCTTCTTACACATTTTGCCTCCACCAACTTCGTAAAAAATTATCATGCTTGCTATCCTTATTCTTACCCCAAGTCACTGTAAATGTTCCCCCAAAACAACTCTTGCAAGAAAATATGCATTGAAGTATTGAGATTTGAGGTTTAATGCTCTGGCACAAAGAATAAGAAAGAAATAAAAAAGAAAAATAAAAAAGCAAATCTCATGCCTGTAGTTCTCTTCTTATTTAATATAATACTCCCTTCGTCCCGCTAATATTGTCCCACTTTACCTTTTCGGGAAATCCCACTAACATTGTCTCATACCAAATTTGGTAAAGTTTGTGTGACTCTAAATCATTCTTACTTTATTCTTACTTTATCAATTAATATCAACCACACAAATCCACTCTTCTTAATAACCGTGTCACCCCCTTCCGTCCCAATATTAGTGGGACGGAGGTAGTAATATTTATAAAAGATAGAGAAGTACGAAATAAAAAACAAAAAACATTTGGAGCAGCCCTTTTCCAGTAAATAATAACAATGGATGAAAAAAACCCTAGAATCTCACACAAGAATGGTACTATTAACGCTAATTGAAGAAGAGGGATTTAACCCATAATTTCATACGAGGAATAACCAGGTAGAAATATTTGCAGTGGGTGAAATCATCAACCGGAAGATTTTGATTGGTTAAGATGTACTTTTTTTACTCTTGGAAGTGCAAATGACGCTGATTTTGTTAGGTCTCAAAGAAAAATAGCAAGACAAGAGACGGAGTGGAAATTAGAAATATTTGGGGTACATATGAGAAGAATGAGCTGACTATTTCCATTAAAGATGTGGAGCACTAGTGAGCAACCTTTATTAACGGAGATTCTAATAGAGTTAGATTTGGGGTCTCATATTTCTAGTTTCAAGTAATTGAGGCCCTAAAAAGTAATATAGATCTTTGATTAGAAAGATCTTGTTGGATCCAAAATTATATTTAGCTTATCTTGGGTCATGATTCATGAACTGATAAAATTCCAAATAAAAGTAAACAGAAGCTCTTCAATTTGAATCCATAAGATTTAGACAACAATAAGTTCAATCAAGAAGGACGCAATAAACTTTCATGTAGTCTAAACAACGCTTTGGACACGCCTTTTAACCCGAATAATTTTGAAATGCATTTTTTAGAGTTATCAATTGTTTCCCGATACAAAATTAGAACAGTTTTGAGACAACTATATTCAGGCTATAAAAGATGTGAGTGATCAAACATCTTTTCGGATGGCTATCAATATAACTTTGTCACTATGAGATCATATCTATGAAGTTATGCAGGACGACTCACATTGCGAATGTTAGAAATATTTGCTTGATATTTCAAAGTTTCAATGTCCTGATCCAAGTGCTGCTTCCAGTCCGATAGTAGTGTTTCATCCTGTCACAATGAGCAACAATATCAAATGAGGCCATGACAAATCCAAATGAAACCCACACAAGGTCAACCATGAGAGTAGCTTACTTGTGGAATTTGTATCATCACTTTGTTTGGGAATAAACGTGCAAGCTGCTTAAAAGCCTTGGGTGTTTCTTTGTTCCTATCATGCAACCTACCAAAATTATCCTAAGAAAAGACAATTCATTAACATTATATTGGGATAATGGACGGGGAATCAGAAAATTTTGGCTAAGTTCACCTAAAGTCCTCCAGCTGCTACTTGGCCAACAAGACAATTGTTTAGGTAACTCTTGGAAGTAATTCTTTATCAGAATTTATCAATGACTAACCACAAATTGCAGCGTATAAAAGGAGACCACTATTAATGATCCAATAAATGACCATTAGAAAGAGCATATACACTCTGTCCAACACCCTTAGCATATTGAAGAGATCAGTAAAATCTAATCACTCTATCAAATTGAGGGCCTGTTTACTAACCGATATATTTTCCAGTTTTCTATTTCTGTTTTCCGTTCTCCAATTTTTTGTTTTCCATTTTCAAATCTGAAAACATGTTCATACATTTTTTCACCCGGTTATGTGACCGACCAAAAGATCAAAAGTATGGTCCTGTCCGGAACCGAACCGAGTACAACCCAAGTAGGGTACTGGGTCCCACGTATAGGAAAGTCGGGACCGAAACCGCCAATCCCGGTCAATCTCAACCGTTAGTTTGATAAATTCTTTTCCCATTTCTCTATTGGTTGACAACTCAACGGCTCTTTTAAAACTCTAGACTTTAAAAAATGATTTCGAAAAAACCTTGACTAAACCGTCGGGTCATTGACTAGCCCGGACCAGGGACCGCTGGGTTGTTTACGGGATTGGCCCGAGACCGCTCGGTTGTCGATCGGAACGAACACAGATCGTCGGGTCATTTTCCAGACAGGATGGGGGTCGCCGGGTCGTTGACCGGACAGAACGGGGACCGCCGGGTGGTTGACCGAACATGACGGGGACCGTTGGGTCATTGATCGTACTGAACGGAGACCGCCGAGTTGTTGACTAGACCGGGACTGCCCTACCATCGATCAGACCGAACAAGTACTGCCTGGTCGTGGATCGGACCGGACAGGGACCATCGAGTCATCAACCGGACCGGACAGGGACCGCCGGGTTGTGGGCCGGACTGGACAGGAGCTGCCGGTTCGTGGACCAGACCGGACAAGGACCGTAGGGTCGTGGACCGGACCGGACAGAGACCGCCGGGTAAATGACCGGCCCGGCCCGGACCGCCGGGTTGTTGACCGGACCAGTGACCGCCGGATCAATGACCGAACTAAGGGTGTTCATTCGGTAATATCAAACCGAACCGAACCGAACTAAATCGGTTTGGTTTGGTGAAAACCGAAAAAAAAATCGGTTTGGCAATCCGTAAACCGAAATGCTAAATAGGCATTCAATAATATTTATTTAATTTTTATAAATAAATATTTAAATATGTTATACTACTCCGTCCCACTATGTTTGGGACAAAGAAGTGTGGCACAAATTTTAAGAAAAATTAGAATTGTGTGGTTGGTGTTGAATTGATAGTGTGAATAAAGTAAGAATGAATTGTAACCACCCAAATATTGCCAAATATGGTATGAGACAAACTGACAAACTTAATGGGACGGACGAAAAAGGTAAAATGGGACAAAGTTAGGGGGACGGAGGGAGTATATATTATATAAATACTACGTAGTATATTATGTAGTATACATATATAATACATACTGAAATATATAAATATATATATATATATATATATATATATATTTATATTTCAGGCCTATTTACTTAATGGTTATAGTAAATAAATATATATAAATATATTTGATAGTGTATTAATTCTAGAGAGAAGTGAGAGCTAGAGAGAGAAAGTGAGTAATTATATTTCTCAACTTGGAACCCCCTATAATTAGCCCCTTGGGGTCTATTTATAGGTAAAAACGTGGATTTGGGCCCCTAGCCTTGGGCTTAGGAGGCCCATTACAATAATCATGCCTTCTTTGGGCGAATAGGGCCACTAATGGGCTGAGTACAACACTTAGTACATCAAATAGGAAAATACATTCTGCCTGGACGAAGTCCGGACGATGCGGTCCATGGACGATGCGGTCCATGGACGATGCGGATCCTGGGTTTCGCCCACGGATCTAGGGGTTATATTCTTTCTTGGACGTTGCGTGCCTCTGGCCGATGCGGGTGTCCTGCTGGTGTCTTTTTGGATCGTCGAGTATGTGGGCCATGGGGTCCAGGCCCATATACTCTATCAATATTATATATAAATACTGAAATATATATATATAAATATACAAATATTTATATATTTCGGGCGAAACTATACAAATATATTAAATTTTAACATTTTTTTTAAATATATTTTCATATTTATATTTATTATTTTATGTATTTTGGTACTCGGTACATACTGAAAACCAAAATATTTTTATATATACCGAACCGAATACCGAATTTTCAAAATTATACGTACCGATTACCGAACCGAAATTTCGGTTCGGTATTTGGTACGTACCTTAATTTCAGTATCGATTTGGTTCGGTCGGTTTACCGAATTGTGCACACTTCTAGAACGAACCGGACCGGACCGCCAGGTCAATGACCGGACCGCCGGGTGGTTGACCGGACCATACTGGAACTGACACCGGAGTGGGACCGGATCCAACACTAGGCATAAGTGTGCAAATTCAACTTCATTAAGGAAAACAGAGGCATATCTCATTTTTTTTATTTTAGAAAACGATTTGGTAAATGCAATTTTTTGTTGTCCTTTCTCTAGTTTTCCAGCATTTTTGTTGGTAAACACGTTTTTTGTTTTTCTTTTTCCAGTTTTCCTGAAAAATCTGAAAAATATCTCTGTTAGTAAACGCGCCCTGATATTCTCATATGATATTTGCCCATATTTATAAATAGATCAAGACCATGCATAGTTTACAAATCATATCAATCATATAATTTCACTCTTTTCTTAAATTGAGTACCACATTCTCTTGTTCCAAACATAGTGGGATGGGGAAGGTGGATATATATTGAAATGTACATTAAAATGCTTGACCCCCTGTAGGAAGAGTGATATATGAGATGTGGATAAAATGATAAATATGAGTGCTCTAGATGGTAAAAAGTACAAATGCGACTTGGGAAAATCTCATTGTCAGAAAACAATCATTGAGGCTAACAGGAAAAAATAACATTCTAGCAATTTGTCTCCATTATCAAAAGAATACAAAGGTAAATAATAAATAAATAAATAAATAAATAAATAAATAAATAAATAAATAAATAAATAAATAAATAAATAAATAAATAAATAAATAAATAAATAAATAAATAAATAAATAAATAAAGAAATAAATAAATAAATAAATAAATAAATAAATAAATAAATAAATAAATAAATAAATAAATAAATAAATAAATAAATAAATAAATAAATAAATAAATAAACAAACAAACAAACAAACAAACAAACAAACAAACAAACAAACAAACAAACAAACAAACAAACAAACAAACAAACAAACAAACAAACAAACAAACAAACAAACAAACAAACAAACAAACAAACAAACAAACAAACAAACAAACAAACAAACAAACAAACAAACAAACAAACAAACAAACAAACAAACAAACAAACAAACAAACAAACAAACAAACAAACAAACAAACAAACAAACAAACAAACAAACAAACAAACAAACAAACAAACAAACAAACAAACAAACAAACAAACAAACAAACAAACAAACAAACAAACAAACAAACAAACAAACAAACAAACAAACAAACAAACAAACAAACAAACAAACAAACAAACAAACAAACAAACAAACAAACAAACAAACAAACAAACAAACAAACAAACAAACAAACAAACAAACAAACAAACAAACAAACAAACAAACAAACAAACAAACAAACAAACAAACAAACAAACAAACAAACAAACAAACAAACAAACAAACAAACAAACAAACAAACAAACAAACAAACAAACAAACAAACAAACAAACAAACAAACAAACAAACAAACAAACAAACAAACAAACAAACAAACAAACAAACAAACAAACAAACAAACAAACAAACAAACAAACAAACAAACAAACAAACAAACAAACAAACAAACAAACAAACAAACAAACAAACAAACAAACAAACAAACAAACAAACAAACAAACAAACAAACAAACAAACAAACAAACAAACAAACAAACAAACAAACAAACAAACAAACAAACAAACAAACAAACAAATAAATAAATAAATAAATAAATAAATAAATAAATAAATAAATAAATAAATAAATAAATAAATAAATAAATAACAACCCATCAGATGTGACCAGAAAGATACAACTCATATTCCATGAGTGAATACTATTCCCATCTAACCAAGTGCTAAGATTTACTTCAATATATTTATGAGATGATTAATGCTTTACATGAAGTGAAAAGCTCAATCTTTAAGCCTAAATCCTACCAAGTGGTAACATTCACTACAATTTATTTAAACTAGTAGACGGTTTACATGATTAAAGATGTGAAAAGCACAAGTTATAAGCCTAAATCTTATACTATCAAGTATCAAGCAAGTGAATACTCTATGTAGATACATTGAAGAATAAATAAAGAGATAAACCTATATAAATGCACTCACTAACATTAAATCAGCCTAACAAAGGCAGGAATCATAAGGAATAATCATTACATGTACCATTCAAATAAATAAACCAAACTATTACCGGAAATGCAAGATCAAGCAATGCCGTCTGGTTGCTCCCAAATTTTGTAAACAAAAACCCGCCCGGATGAGACTGGAAAATATATTAGTATCGTGAGGTATGAGGTAAGAATGAAAAAAAATCCCAAAAGTAGAGTAAATACTTAGTCCCATTAACACCCATGCATACTTTTTCCTTCCGGTTGTCTGATTGGGAATTGGATGCTATCACAACAACATTCTCTGGCAACTTTTCAAGCTTAAACTTGACTGCTGCAAAGATCTCAGGAATTCCCATAACAGGCTTCTCTATGTCTTTCACAAACAAAATTAGGGAGCCATTTTTACTCTCTTGTGAAGCAACCTACAAACAGAACATTCCGGTGCTGATAAAACATTGTATAAAAAGGGACAACTATTGTATAAACATCATAATACACATTGAGCGAGTGAGGAACCTCATAAAGTTCATTGATTGCCAGTCTGTCAATATCATCAGTGCTGGAGTTAACTAAGCGCAATAAGTCCGCTGTGTACAGAGAATTATATTAGACCAAAGAATTGACACCAATAGATAGTACTTTATGTGTAATACACTCAGAATGAGAATATAAAGTGGCACAATGGATATGTAAGAACAAATAAGTACCAGCACAGAAAAATCCATGATCATTCTCACAGAGTCCACCAAGATCATTGCCTTCAGGAATTGGCCGCTCAAATCTGACTCCTATCTTTGACAAACTATTTTCTTCAAACGCAAGAAGCACTTCACCTTTATACCCATACGCTGGACCCCTAAAACAGTATATCAAAGAGCTAGAATTTCTTTCTAGATACATCTAATACTCTAATTAAAAGATTAACAGAACAGTTGCACAATCCCATCAAGCGACATAAATGTCAGCCAAGCACAAGGCAATCAAGTCCGGAAATAAAAACCAAGCACATTTGGTTTCTAACAAACGTCATTAGTTTCAACTACGTAGTATTTATTAGTCAAACAGAGTAACTTTTTATTGGAACATTTTCACATGTTCAATCAACACACAGTGGTAAAACAGTCCCGTCCATTGTTCTCTGGTTACAATTTAAAGTGAAACCAACATGGAAAGACGCAAGTGAGGAATAGATCATGACAAAAGATCGTTATATAGGACAATGAACATAAGTAATCTATTGTGTAAAATTCTAAGATAGTGTTAATGGAAATACAGCAACATAACTCTTCAAACAGGGCAACCATCATTTCTCAAAGATGCAAGATACCAAGGCTTCATTCAAATCTCAAACCTTGGAAGATAAAAATATGGTGGAAAAATAAAATATAAGAAAATATGGAGGGAAAAAACAAGTTAAAATATCAATATATTAATTTTACATACATTTTTAAAATTATTCAAATTGTTTATTTCACTTGTGAATATATGCATAGTTTTGAAGAATCCTAATGCAGATTTCTTTTCCTTCAGAATTTTCAAGTTGAATCAAACATAATAAAACAATTGTCATTAACACTTTTCTATCCCTGGCATTTTTCTGTTTTCAAACATAGCATGTAGCTTAATGAATTTTAACCTGTTTTCAAAGATGCAAGATACTAAGGCTTCGTTCAAATTTCAAACCTTGGAAGATATAAATATGGATGAAAAATACAAGTTATGAAAATATGGAGGGAAAAAACAAGTTAAAATATCAATATATCAATTTTATATACACTTCTAAAATTATTCAAATTGTTTATTTTAATTGTTAATATATGTATAGTTTTGAAGAATCCTAATGTAGATTTCTTTTCCTTCAGAATTTTCAAGTTGAATCGAGCATAATAAAACAATTGTCATTAACATTTTTCTATCCCTGGCATTTTTCTGTTTTCAAACAATAGCATATAGCTTAACGAATTTTAATCTGTCTTAAACTTAGTTACTAGATCACAAACTCAAGTATGCATCTCAGAAAGAGGTGATGCAGTGTGAAAGAGAAAATATTTCTTAAAGTTTTAGTAATCTATCTGCTCAGCAGTTACCTTGCAGGAGCTTGCAAAGGAGAAAACCCTGATGGTAATGAACCAACATACTTGACACGATCACCTGACAAGATAACACATGCCAACAATTAAAAAGATGTAAGTTTCTCCGTTGCTCCGGGAAATAGATTTATCTGGCGTTGAGAACATGAGCTACATTTCAAGCATTGAAACCAAAAAAAGTTCCAAGTTGAAGCAAAAAACAGCACACCAGTTTTGAATGTGTAGTTCTTTGATGAAGCAGTAGAAGCTTCCTGCTTTGTCAGAGTATGAGAGCTTATAGCTGAACCACCAGTGATATCAGCTTCAACACTTGAAGATGGCTTTTTATTGAGTCGTAGTACTGCTGCCTGTGCAGCGCGTTTAGCAAACATACTTGCTCTATCAGGCTTTGAGCTCTCTTTTCCAGGATCAACTTCTTTTGTTGACCCCTGCATAGTTTCTTGGAAAAATAAGCTAAATAAACTCTAGCACCAAGCAAAATTTGGTAAGTGAAGGCACATAGGAAATGAAATTAATATAAAGAGTCTTACACCGGGCAATAAAAGAGAATCAACAATTAGAAGCCTAGCACAATAGTGTTTTGCAAGTGCCTTAGCCAAAGTCTCCTGATAGATTTCGGAGCCTGTAAATTTTATAATAAAAAAAGTGGGAATTAATAGAAGTGAGAACAGAATGTTACAACACAAGGGATAGATTCCCATTAATGGTATAGAGTATAGACCGGATGGACTACCTGCCGGACCAGATAGCAAAATCCTTGGGCACACTGTGGAAATATCAGAGGCATACTTTACAAACTTGTTGCATTTCAAGTGTATGTAAGTTGAAGCAATCAGAACATTCTTCGTAATCTCACTGTCAGATACAAGGATTTATTCAATGAAGAAAAATAAGGAACCAACTTGCAATTAAGAAAGAAATCAAGTAATCAACAGAAAAGGAATAGTGTACAGAAACAGTTTTACTAAAAACAGAAAGTAAAATCAGTCAAAAAATTGGCAACAGAAACAAATAATTTTCACCGACACACTGATATAATTCTAAGATTTCTAAACTCAAAACAAAAAAGGAACTACATTTGGAATTGGAACCTTAGCAAGCATATCTTTTTTGCACCAAAGATTCAAGTTTAATAGTATACATGTATCATAATTGTCCATGAACAAACATATCCACGAACACTGATAAGGCAACTGTGTTAGATCACTTGAACTCAGCTAATTCAGCAGAACGTAGAATTTATTTGTGCACATATTTAGATTCCTATAAAAATCATTCACGAATGGACTGTAAGAAATTGCCCTAAACAAGAGTACAAATCCTGTGAAATTCCAAAAAATGAGTGTCAAGTTTTTTCCAAAAATAGTAGTTACTATCATGCTTGCAAAATACTTCCAATTATGGCGTTAATACTGCCATATTAATGCCTCATAATGCCAAAACACTGGCAGTATTATTTCAAGATGGCAGTAATGCACTCCTATTTAGGGAAAAACATAGTATTCCTGTTTTGGAATTTTACATTGTTTTTACTCCTACTTTGGGAAATTTCCCATGTAATTTTTGTTTCATACTTTGATCACACTGCAGGACTTAGAGGTAAAAGAAAATTACTGCTTCAATGAATATATTACAACAGCAAATGCAAGAAGCGTTGCAGCTTTTTGTGTTTGGATGTGATCCAAAAAAAACACCCAAGTTGTAAATGGATTCTAGTCAGTATTATTAATTAACTCTTAGGGTTTAAATATCATTGCAGTCCACAAAATAAATGTATCCACCTGAAGTGGAAACATTATCGTAGCAAATATATCGCAACCACTTTAACTCGTCATTCATGACATGTTGAGTTGATGTTTTCACCTCAAGTAATAAGGGAAATTGTCGAACGAGACCTCAATATTATTGGGATCAAGTATTGATTGCTGTAGTCCATCTTTATATGCTTGGCGCTTGGTTGATGTTAAAACAGGAGGATCAAAATCTTTAAGCAGGTCTTTCTGATGGTCATCATTTCTGGGTATGTTGCCGCTCGGATCAAACTCAGAAGCAGATCCAGTAAGCATTCGGATGAGTGGCCTGATTTCCCGAGGTGCCTCGGCTTCCTTCCCAGTTTCTCCATCATAAGAATCTATTGCACCACCACTCTCGGGATTCAAGTTCTCATTGCCACATTCAGGGGATATAGCACCTGACTTCTCATCAAGAGGTACATCATTATGATCAGAGAAATCCTTCAGGTCAGAGTCTAAATCATGTCTATCTGGATCTTCACTATCAGCAGGCAGTGCTGAGACCTCAGTCTCTTGTTTTATATCACCATTACAATCTGATGGGGGGAGAAGCAACAACTCTTCCTTCAGATTTGATAAAGAAGCTAAAGTAGAAGCAACGGCTACTGTAGACGGGTCCCCTGACCTCGCCTCAAAATTAACACCTTTCATTTGTCCACGATGGGCTTCTAAGATGCTCACTGGAGGAGGTATGCTTGCAGCAGATATGTCTTCACCGGTAAGCTTTTGAAAGATCTAAACTTAAGTTAAGAAATCTGGCTTTCCTCGTAAAAGCATCAATCAATCTTTTTCGCATAAAAACACATCGAAGATATTGAACATAATTACATTATAATTATTTGGGCATTCAAAGAGGATACGTAAGCATGCTTTCCAGACAAGCCAAAAATCACCTCATCACCACCATTTAGCGGCACAGTAGAATTCTTCGGATAAATCTTACCATTTACTTGTACAGAACCTTTTTTCCCGCTAATTTCAAGTAGTGTGATAGAACTCCCTTTCTAAATACAACACATAGTAAATAAACAATTAAAATCAATATTAACCCAGTATTTTCAGAAACATATATGGTATCTAAATGATAAAAAGGGTGATAAACAGAATGATAGACTACCTCAGTCTGAATGTGCTTCAGATTGCATAAAGATTTACTGACAGATGGATCACCCACCCACAAATCACATTGGCGGCCTTGTCCAACAGTCAAAGTAGATTGATGCAAAAGAATGTGAGGAATCTGGATAGTAAGATACATGATCATCACATGACTAATTAAGTAAAGAAACTGAGAAAAGAAATCATTTTGGAAATGTAGAGACTAACAATACAAAGTTCATATCTTGGAGGGTGAAAGTGTACTAAGTTTAACTTATATTATCAGCAAAGAGTTCAAAATCAAATCTTTCCTCTTCCAGAGATACGAACATGTTTGACAAACTCTTAAAACAGTGGTCGAGTGAAGAAAGAACTAACTTGTGGGTATTGAGAGAGAAGTTTTCCCCATGCGGTTCCAAGAGTAGGCTTCAGCTGCAGCTTATTTTCCTTGTTCAGTCCAGACCCATTTGAATTCAACTTGACCGCATCAATAGCAGAATGGTCTACAGCCCAAAGAAAACGAACAGAATTTAACTATTTAAAAAAAAAAACTATGTTAAAATTAGTGCCAGAGCATAACTAATTAAAAAGATCCCCATCCGGACTCATTAGAGTCACCAAAGGCTCACCACCCAGTGAAGCCTCGGGCAATTTCATACAGAGCGGCGCGTCTGCCGACTTCAATGCACAGGTTCCATCCGGATCAGCTGAACGAAACTCTTGCTCCGCCGATTCCGGCCCTGATTCATTCACCGCACCCGGCGTCTTCTCCCCGAGCATGTCATCCGTGGATGACAACGACTCAGTAGCCTACAAAGCTAGGAGTTAAGCTCAATAAATTCATTTTCACGATTATACACAAATCTATCAATATGTATGTAGGAGGAGCCTAAACCCTGACCTTGGACCGCTTTCCATGGGGTAGAGGTGAGGAGGGGGGAGGAGGGGGGCGTTTGGAAGAGGACGAACTTCGCCTGGTCTCAACCATTTCCTTGAATCGTGAACCTCGACCCTCTTCCTGGATCGATCTGAGAACCGGTTGCAAGCAATCAGAAGAGCTGATAACAAGGATCAAGATGATTAAAATGAAACTGAAATGATGGAAGGCTGAGAGGTAGAAATGGTCAGTCATCAACACACCATGACGCCATGACGGTAATTTTTCAATTTTAAGGTAGAAAACAACAACAGAGAGATGCAGTTAATCCGGTTACAATTGTTCTTTTTTGAAACTAGTAAATCACCCGCGATGTACTGTTTTTTTGCTAGAAGAGGACTTAATTCATAGAAATAGCATTTAGTAGAGTACAAAAATAGAAAAGAACCACAAATAACCATCCGCTCGTTGTCGAGACTGAGAGTTAACCACCTGTAACAAAGCAGTATAACTCGCTAGACCAAATTTGGACAACTTAAAGCCAATGACGGTTACCGCAGACTTTCCATCCCCTAAACCTAATGCAAGAGTCTTACAAGGATTGAAAACACAAAAGAAAAATAGAACATAACATCCGAAATAGAAGTAAACAAAGCAGACAATAAAAATAACACAATCACTTGTTTTCTTCACCAACACCACCATATGAAAACATGGAGGTGGTTCTGGGGGAGGCCGGACCCTCACAGCGATTGATGTTGCACCAGAGTGGTTTTCCTCCGACTCGACCACCTCTACTTCATCATTGTTGTTGCACCAAAGCGATTTCCCCGGGCGCCAAACAGATGTTATCAAATCTTGGAATCCCGGAAGGCTGATTTTCCCATCCGTAATCACGACGTCGACTTCTCCTGACATGGAGATCCCCTCCCTTCGTTCGTCCCCTGCGTCTTCATGTTTGGCCAAACCCAATCTGCGACCTAGCCCTTCCGACGAAGCCCAGACCACTGTCGTCGTTCGCCTACACCACAACCTAAGCACCATTCTTCGTTAATAAAACGAAAATGGGAAACGAACCCCAGCGGCGAAAAGCCCTTGGGAAGAAAACTAGACCCCAGCGGCGGTAAGCCCTAGGGAAGAAACAAACCGCACTCCTACCAGTCCCCAACGGTGGTCGAGACCACCTAGGCAAAACCGGCGGCGGACACCACGGCTAGGCGTTATCTTCTGATAACCCTAGAGAAAATAGACGGCTCACGATGTACGGTTTATAATGCTGGATAAAATGAAATGGACTCAATTGTTACACAAAACCTTGTATAAGGTAGCAAGAACTATATATCCTCAAGAGAAATCTAAGATGTAACATAAATATATGTTAACGTAGTTGGGCACATATTATATCACTATTTCAAAAAGAGGATTTAGTATTGGTAAAATGTTGGGAAATACAAAAGAAATTAATAAAGACAATAACATTACTAAATGACTACGGAGTATAATATAACCCTAGGCGTTGTTGAACGCTTCCTCGAAAACAACATTTTGAGTGATGTCTGTGGTGCCTTCATCCTCATCACAAATTAAAATTTTCAGACCCCGACGACTGGTAACCGTGGAAACCGCAACATACAATTGACCGTGGGTAAAGACAGGTTTTTTTAACAACAAACTCACACATGACAATGATTGACTTTGGCTTTTATTTATAGTCATAGCATATGAAGTCATACTACATTTCCAATTTTACCATTATATTTGGCTTTGGAAGATCCGCTTTGATGTTGATCCAATTTAATGTCATGATACCCAATACTTCAAAATGTTTAGATTGGTTGCCCAGTACTTACTATCAATAATGCATTTATAAAATCAGATTCATTATTTGGAAAAAAATACTCCGTATCATTTATAAACACTAACCTAGTGAATAAAATAATAATAAAAATCATTATCAAAAAACGCATAATATAATTCATTGAAAGAATTTATGAATTTCTGAGTTTTGTGTCATTGTATAAACCGTTTTCCAGGATTGCTAGAGTACTTAAAATAATGATGAATTTTAATTTGTTTTCCACTACACACAACCAAATCAAAAAATACGGTCCAGATCCATCCTTACTGGGCCGTGCAAATGAGCCCGAAAAAACGGTAACCAAAACTCACGCTATTACCCGTCCATAAACCGAGGCTAAAAGGGACATTCATCCCTAAACTCTCGCTTTACTCACCATGTACGACCACTCTCTTCCATTCACTCCAACGACGCCACTCAACCGACATATCCAAGCGCCGACAAGATAGGCGATCGACACACATCACTCGCCCATTATCAGCGCACACCCCAGCCGCAACCCACAATCGGCGGTCCACCGACACAGAGCCGCGTAACACCCGCCATGATGACCTGGCAACAGTAAGCTCTGAATCGCTCTAATACACGCAACAAAGCCGTCAATCATTATTTTTATTATAAACAAACAACCTAATTCGATTTTGGTATGAACCGCAACAACCAAAAGGGAAAAGTGCCAAAAATGACACTAAGGTTTTTAATGAAGTTCGGATTGGACACTAAAGTTTTAAGTAGACCAAATAAACACAAAATTAAACTTTTTGGATCCATTTCAGCCACCCCTTAACATCTCCTGTAGATGACCCCTTCCCTGTCGTTAAACAACGCAGCCCTCAATTTATGAAAACTAAGTTCATCTGGGAGGATGAAAAATCTTAGAGCTGCTCTTGAGATCAATTTCTGATGATGGTATGCGGCACTATTCTTCCTGTGATGAGCATCAGAGATGTTGGTATTATCTGGAGATGTTGGTGTTCGTTTGCTGCCTTGTCAGATGCCGAGGCTACGCTGGTTTGTGGTGAAGAGAAGTGGGCTGATGCCCCTGTTTCTTTTCCGGACTGATGGTGCCGTTTATGGGAGAGAAAGAAATCGGCAGTTGAAATTCAGAGGAGTCTTCATCTCCATTGCCGGTTGCTTTGCTCGTTTGCCAGAAGATAAAGCTGATTGGTGAGATGCTTCCAAAGTTGTACATCACTTGTCCCGTCGGTAATGGCGTTGGAGAAGATGTTGGTGCTGACTTTTTGTTGCTGGCGTCAATTGCTGGAGCTGCTCGTTCTCCGATTCAGTATCGAAGGCTGAGGCGTTGCTGATTCTATTGGAAGCTGAACTCGATATCGATTTTCTCCGGCCATATTTTAATTTCTTTGTTGAGTGGCAGACAAAGATTTCAAGGAAGGTAGCATCGAATTTCTCCTGCTATGTTGTTACCCATGTGCCTGTCGAAGAAGGAGCTCCACCTATATTTTTGCTGCTGATTTTGATTTGAAGTAGCAGGAGGTGGCGAGCAGGTGTTTCTGTTCACATCAAAGGATGAGTGCCGTTTGCTACACTTGGGAGAAGAAGAGGCGAACCGATCTGTTCTGATTTCTAGCGACATCGAATGGAAAAAATAACGGAGCAGTTAAGGAGAGTGGCTGAAATGGATCCAAAAGGTTTAATTTTGTGTTTATTTGGTCTACTTAAAACTTTAGTGTCCAATCCGAACTTCATTAAAACCCTTAGTGTCATTTTTGGCCCTTTTCCCCACCCAAAACCAACAGATTTGGAGATCTGTGTCCGAACACATGGGTTTCACATCTCTTCAATCTTATTTTCTTTTTGATAGAGTATATAGACTTGGACCCTGGGTATCACGACTATTGGGCCCAGACAGCGGCCCGGACACTGGCCCACATATGCTCAGTAGATGGCAATTATTTCCTTGTACACTATATTTATTCATATGTACCCATTAGAATAGATTAGATACCATTTATTTGCCATTTATTGACCTTTTATTGTAGTTGGGCCTTCCAGGCCCAAGCCTGGAAGCCCATCCCACTTTTCTCTTATAAATACTCCCTATGGGAGCCATGCAAAAGGATGGTTGATTGGAATTCATTATACATATCACTTTATCTCTCTAGTTCTCCCTTCTCTCTAAGATTAAATAATATATCACTTTTATTTGGGTTTGAATGTTTTAAGTGATATTTTTGAATAATATATAAGAAATTACGGAAGTAACCGTCAGTGTGAATTTATTAATATTATTGTTGTTGATTGTTGTTTGTTAATTTGTTCTGCACTTGTTGATGTTGCCTTCAATTCATTTTAGTTGATAGTTGGTTGATTAGTTCATAATTGTTAACATGCTGAATTTTGAGGGATTGCTGATTTTTCTGCTATGTGGTTCAATTTGGGTTTTCTATTAGTGTTATAATTTGAGCATAATGTGTTAGAAGAAGCTTGATTATGAACTCACTTTGCAATGGTCCCAGAAAATGTATTTTAGTACTTTTTTATTCTTCTATTCTTTTAATTTGAATCTTGGATTCTACTTTGGTTGATTTAACGCATCCAGAGGTATTATCTTTAGTTTAAGGTCTTTAGGTATTAAATAGAAAAGTTTTTTACAATTATGTTATATTAAGATTAACTCCATTATAATTGCCAAATACCTCGTGGTCTGATGGCATCACTGTGGCACTCCCAAGGAGGAGGTCACAAGTTCGAATCTCATCCCAGTTCAAGGATGTTGGCATTAACATTGAGCAGATACTATATACATTAGAAAGAATTGTCCAAAAAAAATTACATTATAATTTACCTGGCCCTAGCCTTCAAACAGATAGGACCGACCGTGAAACTCAATCTCTATTAACTTTAGCCTGAAGGGTGTTCATTCTTCACAGCCATGTTAGAGATTTTGCTGATTATTGATTTACCAATAATATATTTTTTTATTATAACAAATACCTGAAGTATATTATACCATGTATGAAGTACCTATATCTTGTGTTAGTAACATAGTAGATGATGTTATTGAAATCATTTTGATAATAAATTCAATGTCCAAAATTTCAAAAAATTCAGTTTTATTGATGAACAACTGAAAACAACTTTTGACATGTTGTAGTCTTCAAGTGCATATTGTTTTTCATTAGAAAGTTCTTGACATCAGGAAGTTCCTTAACATACATGGCATTCCACAAACAAATACTCCTCAAAGTTTTTTTTATACATGAGCAGGAATATTTGTTCTTTGTACCCAACAAAATCAGTGGTTAAAAACATGGGGAAAAGTTATAAGTTATAAAAAAGTGAATGAATGTTACAATAAATCAACACTCCAAATACAAAAAAAAACTCTTCATTATGGAAAAGAATGGTAGCGATGAAAATATATCATGAGGTGTATAAAAGACCACATCCCCACCTTAACAACTCTAGATTTCATCCCCCATGCATCCTTTGTGTTGTTTGACTATTGTATAAGAGACAACATCCCCACCATTTTCACAGCTGAATAACTTGGAATGCAACTCTGTATTTATAGCCAATTT